CTGCTACTGCTCCCACTGTTTGCTCGGGGTGTCGCAGCTTGGAGAGGTAAGCTGGTCCCATTGGTGAACTGGCATGCTCCAATCCAGTATAGCTTTTATCACCTGTCCTATCCGAACTGCTCGGAATTGAATTCCTTAATGTGAGGTCCTTTAAAATATCCTGTATTATTACCACGTTAGGGTTGGCTAAGGACGGTGGCACTCGCTGCCTTCCAACTGAATGGTGTGAATCGGCCATCATACCGATTTACAGGAAAGGCGACAGATCCTCTTGTGAAAACCGCAGAGGAATTAGTTTAACCAACATCGTCTCTATACTCCTCGCTGGCATCATACTCCGTCGATTGCCTGCCGCACGTGAACGGTGTACGCGTGAGAAACAGGCTGGATTTAAACCTGGTCGAGGTTGTACCGACCACATCTTCACTCTTCGCCTAACTCTGGAGCATCGACATTCTTTTCATAGACCCACCATCTCTGTCTTCCTGGATCTGAAAGCGGCTTTTGACTCAGTCGACCGCTCTAAACTCTGGCGCTGCCTTTCTCTGAAAGGTGTGTCCGAGAATTTAATTTCAATATTAAAANAAATCCCTTTACACTAATATCCGAAGCCGAGTCCGAGCTTATGGCACTTCTTCGCCCGATTTCACTAAAAGTGTCCGTCAGATTTGCCCTCTTTCTCCTTTTCTATTTGTTATATATTTCATTACGAAAACAGCCTTATCCTCGTGCGAGGGTAGTGGCATAGATTTACTCCCAGGTGGCAGGCTGTCTTATCTAGAGTATGCAGACGACATTGTGCTGCTGAGTAAAGACCCAGGTAAGTTGCAAGCTTTTCTGGATAGCTTGAGGGCCATCGTATCCATGTTCGGCATAAGTTTTGCACCTTCAAAATGTAAAATGTTACTACACGACCGTACTTNCTTATCTAGAGTATGCAGACGACATTGTGCTGCTGAGTAAAGACCCAGGTAAGTTGCAAGCTTTTCTGGACAGCTTGAATGCCAGTGTAGCCATGTTTGATATGCGTCTTGCACCTTCAAAGTGTAAAACGTTACTACAGGAATCGGTTGGTACAGCGCCCAACCTCACTAACTGGGGAAGTAAAAGAGCAAGTGGATAAGTTTTGTTATTTGGGCAGGTACATCTCACCCGGTGGAGGCATCTCGGATGAAGTTTCAGCTCGTATGCAGAAGGCTTGGTCGACATTCACTTGAGATTCACTTGAGACATCTGTGGCGCGGTCGCGACATCCGGTTGTCTGTGAGGGGTCGAGTGTATGCTGCGGTAGTTCGGTCAGTTCTGTTATACGGCGCAGAGACTTGGCCATTCCGGGACCAGAATAAAAATAGATTGTCGGTGTTCGAACACCGCTGTCTACGTCACACTGCACGATTCTGGTGGGGTAACCGGACTAGCAATGCTGAGGTTAAGCTTGGAGTTTTAGGTAATCGCGGTCGTCCACGGAGCAAGTAGTCGACCTTCATAGATTACGCTGTTTGGCACATGTGTTACGTATGTCCCCAGATAGGTTGCCACGGTGAGCGATGTTTACTGAGGCCGGTAGCGATTGAAAAAAAAGATAAAGAGAGGTTAAACTAAGACCTGGCATGAGGGTATGGAAACCCTAACCAGGAGTCTGGGTCACATAAGTCCCGTTAGGCTTCTGGGCTGGGGACCCCGAGATCATAGTCACCGTTGGTTAGAGACGCTGAGTAATATGGCTGGGTGTCGTAAACAGTGGCGTTCGTGCATCTTCTCAATTTCTCTGCAACATCAGTTCACCGAAGTTCTAAATTTTCTCCATAATCCTACTTCAACCTTTCCTGTGTTTCTCCTCATGTTCATCCAGATGGGCAGCCAAAGGACTAACCAAAACCGGCGCACGATAGTACATGGTTAATGGTTGTACAAACTAAACTGAATTGAGGAATTACAGATAGGAGAGAAGTTGTAGGCCAGAAATTACGGAAAATTGCTTTGGCAAGGAACTAAAATGTTCGGCTACCGGTGGTGGATGAGACCACGTTTTTTTGCTTCACAGTGAATGAAACGTTCTTTGGTTCTCTGAATGGTCACCAACATCCTGCTCTTAGGTTGCATAAAGCGAAGGTGGTAGTCGGTGAGTGGCAGAAGTGTTGTGTCCGAATCCCGATTGATCACAATGTACACACAATAAGATATCACACGATGACACATAAGGAACACATGTACCTCAACGGCCACACTGGTCGCCTAGCCCCACGAGTACGATCACAGCACAGATTGGACGCCACGAGCACTAGTAGCCTTCTCTCAGCCACGTAAGCAAGAACACAGATAGTGCACAGCAAACGTGTACTTGGCACACAGGAAGTAAGTCAATTTACAAGTTTTACTCTGATGCTTATATGTGACTCAGAATAGCATCGATTAATGTAAGAAAAAGATTGTGCCAATCAAGTGCACAGTTAGCAAAGTTCAATCGGTCATAGATCACGGATCAGACGGATGGACAGAGTGAATATTTCCGTAGGACGCAATATTATTGCTTAATCTCCGCGAGATTAGTATTGATTCGAGATGCCCCTGATTGAAAATACTCGAAAACTAGGCAGTTTTAGGTAAAAATAATCTTTTTACCTAACAAGAAGACTAGGCGTTTTATGCGTGCAGCACGATCACATGTAAGATTGAATCACTTGAGGGTTGGGGTTCACCGGGTTTGCAAAAGTGCGTAATACCTTGAAGAACAATGTCGGTGAATTTGGAGACAGATTTGGAAACGTCTGAAGAGAAACAACAATCGCTCCAAGAATAAGAAGCTATGAAACCACGAAAATTGTCCCATTTGGCTGAGTTTCAGCTCCAGAATTTCTCGAGGTAAATGGCGGATCAGAGCTCATAAATTTGCTCGGATTAGCTACAGCGAATAAATCGCGGTGTTGCAGAGGACAGCTGGACATACGCAATACGTGCCCTAGCCAGTGAAGTCTACTAATTTGAATTCGGTGTGCTAGCAGGTTTATACCTGATAGACTCCCAAACACACGGCGGCTTACCTCCACGTTACTAACCCGTTCGCTCCATCCAACGTGGGCTAAACTGTGTAAACACCGATAATCGAAAACTTCTAGTCGACGGATATCTTCTACTCGCATATTCAAGGTTTCAAAACCACAAAGCAGAACTGAACGAACGATATACAAGACCTTTCAACTTCAGTAAAACGTTGCGTCTACGCCATAGGTGTTTCAATCCTGCGTACGCTGCTCGAGCCTTGGGAATGCGGGCGGTTATCTCCTTTGCTGCGCTGCCGTCATTGGTCACACAACTACCTAAGTAGGAAAAGTAATCCACCATAACTAAATCCTGACCATTTAGTTTCACAGCGGGAGTAGACGAAACCCAGTCCTGCAGCATCATTTTGCACTTTGAAGGTGCAAAGCACATACCGAATGTGCCTACTGCATTTGTTAGTCTATAGAGTGCGCTTTGCGCGTCTTCCATACATTCGAACAGACAGACGATGTCATCGGCGTACTCTAAATCACACAGCTTTTCTCCAACTGTCCATTCAATACCTACGTTTTGAAGTCCCCTTAGTGCGCTTACCAGTATTTTGTCCACGACAAAATTGGACAGGAACGGCGAAAGAGGGCACCCTTGACGAACGCCGCTGCTGGTGACGAATAGCCTGCTTAGTTCGTTGTAGACCCTTACACGACCGAAGGTATGTGAGTACAGTGATCTCAGTAGGTTGACGTACTTCTGGGGCATTCCTTTTCGAAGAAGAGAACCCATCAGAGCTTCGCGGTCAACTGAGTCAAAAGCTCCATTCAGGTCAAGGAACACTGCGATCGTTGGCCGACGGTGGATATGACGTCTCTCAAGGATCTGACGCAACGTAAAAATCTGATCAACACATCTACGGTCAGGCTGTGCACGGATGTTGGTCTCTCTTAAAGGTGTCAGACGTCGAAGTATAACCAAAGCTAGCACTTTGGTGACAATCGGGATGAAACTGATCTCACGGTGGTTTTCGCTATCGTGGCGAAGTCCTTTCCTGAAAACGGAAACGATCAGTGATTCGCCCCAAGATGATGGAATGTGCTCTTGCATCCAAATGTTGCGCAGTGGTGTAGTTATGGAGGTTATGAGGTAATCACCTCCCATCTTGAAAACAGTGGGAGGGAGCTCATCAGGTCCTGCTGTCTTTCCTCGCTTTAGAGCTTGAATGCAAGACCGAACTTCTGCTTCCGTTGGAGGGTCGCATGACAATGCCCACGGAGCTTTAGTCGGAGATGAAGCAGCCTGGTTAACACTAAGCCAGCTGGACTGTTCGCTGAGGTATTCTGCCCAGTGATCGAGTCATTGATCCCTATTTTGAATAGCTCGTTCCCTCTTATCGCAGACTGTTTCACTAACTGGGGTTCGCCGACCTCCCGTATTGCGTATCAGTCGGAACAGTCTTTGACTATTCCCTGATGCAGCTGCTACTTCCATTTCACTAGGTGTTGTTGCCCACCAGTTCTCACGGTCCTTCTTGAAGCTCTTCGTGAGCCGACGTTGTAGCTGCCGCCTAACTCTATTTTGATCCTGGCAGGTAGGGACTTACCGTTTTTGCTCCATCAGAGCTACTGACTCGTGAAATATCCAATGCCTCCGACGGGTTTGAGGCTCAGACCGACAAGCAACATTCGCTGCGGAATGCATTGCTCGCCTAATCTGATCCCACTGCTCGTCTACATCACGACGCTAAAGCGCACTTAGCTTACGTACCAGCTCTGACTCATAGAGTGCATGACCTGCTCAAACAGATAATCGATGGTGAGCTATCCGAGCTTGCTGGTTTTGTCGCCGACCGGTCAGTCGGAGAGTGAAAGAAAGAGATGGTCGAAATGGAATTAGATTGAGAGTGTGGGCAGGGACTCATTTGTGGAGGTTAATTAGTTGGCTCAGGTTGCTGACCAAATCGAAGTGTGCGGTTGTGCGCCCCAGAGAAGTTACCGTTCCTGATTATGGAGATCGAAAACGGTATGTGGCCATTGGTGTCGGTTACGAACAAGTGTTCAATGTTCAAAGATGAAAAATGTCAAAGATGGAGGAGTCACCGCTCTTGGCGTAACGATACAGAGCTCAAAAGTAATAGTTGAAATGAGGAAGTACGAGCTTCCGCCACACCAGCTTTAATTCACGATTGAAAAAGTCAAGATTTGGTATCCTGAAGGCGGCTACTGATTGACGGTAGATATTAGCCAGTCTCAGAATCATGGTTGCCTGTTTCCTTTTCACAACACGAACAGGACAATACGAAATGACGCACGTCGGATTAATTGAAGAATCTCATAATGTACCACTAACCATGGCGTTACTTCAATTTATTATCAGGTCCGAGTGCTTCAGGTACATCAGTGTTGCACAGTAATAATGCTTGGGCTAGGCACAGTAGTTCACTTTTCCCTCAACAAGGCTTACTTCACAACCAACCAACTCATAGTGTATATTTGTGTGCTGTTCAACGACGGGAGTATTTCGATTTTGTTGCTCTACAGGTTAGATTATGGTGGTGATGAACTCCTCGATAACCCCGATTAGCTTTCCAGTGTATTTTTATCGCATTTATTGGGATTTATAAATGAATGCTGTTGAACCCCATAAGTGAATGACATTCGCAAATTTATGGCTGTATTCGGGGAAAACATTCGCACGAATTTGAATTTCTTTATTCTGCACCTGTACTTCAGGGGCAATACTTTGGGGTAGGATATTCCTATGAACTCTAGTTGTTCTGGGAACAGAAAGTGATAGAAAGCCTTATGTAATTTACCAGGGGGAAAAACTTGATATTTGTCTACCTACGTCGTTGACTAATGCAGGAATTGGGTAAAAATCGGGCAACTTTGGATCAATTTAAACCAAAGATTGCATCTCAAACTAGTTGTGTTATTCAGCTTTCAATTTTATTTACTTCAGAACTCTCGGATATCGGTGGAAATTCCCATCCATAATTATCAATGATTTGAGTCTCCGGATTTCACATATCGAGTCGCCGAAATAATGAACGAGCTCACCTTTTCCCAAAGGCTTGTGGCCCGTATATTGATGGCCCTTCTGCTCATTTTCTTTGTTGTAACGTTTCTACTACAATACTTGTAAGTTTCACTGATCTGGTTATTTAGTTGCCCTGATCTTTATTCAGCTCGACTTGGCTGTCTGGGCGGAGTAGTGTGATGGGTTGGCCGCATGCGTTCAACATACGCGAATTCAACGTGGTACCAATTCATAATCCCTGTGTTCTCACTCGTTTTACGCGGTCTTCGGCCACTACTTCAGGCAAGTTCCGTACCCTACCGTTATTCCGTTTTTCAGGCTATCCGTTACGATTGGAAACGTCATCGAAGTCCGACACCATATGCTACATTTTGTACGATATCAACGTGGAACAACTTCATCATGCCCTGCTAGATAATTTCACCGATCTGATTCAGTTCTTTCGCGCACGCTGCAAGAAACAATTTGACGTGAAGTGAGCAAGGTCCACTATTTCCGGTTTATTCAGCTTCTTTGTTTGTTTTTTTCCACAGAATCGGGAACGATTGCATAGAGATTGAACAGTTCGAACACCAGCTACGACCATTTTTGTCAGACTCAAAAAGAACTTTGTATCCTTTAGTGGTTGGTTTCGTATCGGATTGTTGCCAACCGACCACCGAAAAGATTGTGAGTTATTCCGCACGGGTCAATTTTGAACTGACCGGTAATTCGAACAAATGCAACTGTTCGAACATGTTTTTTTCGGTTTTTTAACTTCCAGGTTGCATGCTGTTACGTCATTCACTTGCGGTTAGATGCACAGGAACCGGTTGATACTGGTGTTATGTATACTTTTTGGAAAACGAATTGGAACAGACTCTTGACACCTCAGGTAAGCCCAGGTTTTAAATACGCTTCATTCCGCTTATTTTCCTGATATGATACGGACCCATTAGTCACAATCGCTGTCTGCTATACAATAACCGGTTTGGTGGTGGTTTGCACCTGACGAATGTTATCCCTCTGTTATTTTGTTCAGCTGAGTAACGTGTCCATACTCTTAGATCCGGAAGGGGTTCGACCATGCGCATCCCGGTAGGGTTTGACTGTTCATCTACTCCCGCTCTACCCGGGTATTTCATGTACTTGGCCTCGGTCAGCCAAGTAAGGAAGCGAATCATGTCAAAATGGATCAATAAATCGATCAACATGCTCAGGCGTGAATGTCAGAATGAATCATAGCATGAGCGAGTTCACTCGAGGCCCTCCATAGCATAGTGAATAAATTCCATTGCGGCGGAGGCCACCTCGAATTCCTTTGAGCCAAATGCAATTATCTGCGTTTGCCTACCTCAAATTATTACCCCATGAAACACCCGGTACAGAACTATGTGATTTCTGTTAGCTAGTGAATAAGCTCAAGTTTATTCTTGCAATTAAGTTGAAATACTATTTGTTCTTTCATTGTATCCTTGTTAAGTGTCTTGTCAAGTGTGCCTTTCAATGCCAGAAATATTTAGGCAACTACATTTGGTTCAAAGGAATCCGTGTTATTTGGAGGGACCTCTGCCTCAATGGAACTCAGTAGGCTACTGAGGATCTAAAGTAAACTCACTCATGCAATTATTCATTCCGACATTCGCGGCCGAACATGGTGACCGGTTTATTGATCCATTTTGACGTGATTCGCTTCCTTACTTGGCTGACCGAGGCCAATTACCACCTGGTTCGTTCAGTCTCCTCCAAAGTTCACACGATCAACGTTCGGGGACATAAAATACCCGGGTAGAGCGTGGGCAGGTGAGTGGTCAAACCCCACCCCACCGGAATTTTCATCCTCGACCGGTAACTCACTCGAAAAGTAAATCTGTTTGACTGGACGGGGTTTTTTCGTAAACCCGGTCCAATCGGTGACGTGAAAGAACCAATCACTTTGCCGGGTTCCTGTTAGAATGCAACTGATTGTATTCGGTTGAAGTTGAAAAGTGTGGTTCTTGGTTTCCAAACGAGAGAATTCTCGGGGGTTCACGCTTACGGAATGGCAAACCAAGTCACGTTCATCAGTCTATACCCCGATTCAACACTAATGCTGTATTTGCATGATGTGAAGATGCCATTATTCTACAGAAACTTGCAGTTCGCCCAACAGAGCAAAATTACTTGAGTTCAGCGATGTTGTGTGTCTGTTCCAATAGCCGTAACTGGATAGAAAATTCCAGACCGGCCCATGAGGAGCAATACGCATCTTCTCTATTATTGTTACACACAAAGTGATTAACAGCGAAAAGGGAATACCCCGCAACTAATGTGGGAAAATAATCAAGTAAGAATCAGTTGGCTGATTCTGCTTTTGAAAAGTGTAAGATTATGAGGGCTTGGATACACGAAGAGGGTTCCACAATTTCAGCCCTGGGGAAAAAGACCACTGGGAGATAGAGGTTCGACATCTGGGCTTAAATTGTGACACTCGCTTGTCCTTACTGGTTCTACATAATGCTATTTCGACTGCTAGGTCTATTGAGCGGAAGAGAAACTGGTACAGCGTCACCGTACATGTTATGCGCTTGACATTTTTTCTGCATCTTAACTAAAACAATCAAATTGTTTATCATGAAGACTTGTTTCAGGCTGTTGCCTGTGAGTTTGTCCACATTAGGTATTTCATGAATCGTCGTGCATAAGTACTTGTAATTCATCTGAATTTGTGCGTTCATCCATTACCATCTAGTTTCAAGACAGTGTCTTCAAGCATATATGGTGTATAGAAATAGCAATATGCTCGCTTACACGTGGTGGACGTTTGATCATGACAATGTCTCATAATAAGGATGTTTTCGCACAACTTGCAGGCTGTGTATGCTGCACGGGACAATTCTGCCAATACAACGCAGAACGAAGATCTAGAGCTGACTGACATACCGTCCGATTGGACTCCATCCTGTTTCATATGTCTCAACGATGTCAAAGAAGAATTGCGTGTACTCCTTCCATGTCGCCATGCGGGTCTTTGTGTGGATTGTTTCAAAGANCGATCGAATGACCATTCATTCGCACAACCCATTGTCCGGTATGGTTTGTCCGTTGTGTCGCACCACCATCACCGCGATTATGAAGATGACCCGCGCTTCGGAGGAAGCAGACGCATCCACTGGTGATATCCCATCCGACTAGCTTTCCACTTGGGAAACCTCTTAAATCTTTCTCCCCCACTTCATGATCTGTTCGTGATGCCTACCAGTTTCCTGGTTGATTCCATTATTTGTTTTATCAAACTCCGATGGGTTTTTTTCGGATTTCCAATACATTTCCGAAACGCTTTTGCCTTGCGGATTACTGAAACACGTGGTTTGCTTTCTGTACGACTGCTCTAGTGCGACACTAACGCCCTCGATCTCCAGGCTCTTTTTGTGCGTACCCAGGACTGACGTTGAAATTTACTCTTATCAGGGCCCTATTTTGCGGTGAGCACGTAACAGGCGTTTCTATTTATATGCGGCCATCTCCTCAACGATATGCTGTTTTCGTCCATATATAAAGTAATAATCTCCCGTGGTAAACCGAATACGATATATCATGATGGAGAATAATCGTTCAGTCCTTTTTGTCGCGCTAGATCCGAGATTTTTAGACTGTCTCTGTCAACCCCCAAAGTGGTTTGAAACAGAGGAATGAAACAATTGAGCACCTATTCGCATACATCCCTCAAAAATTGAGCACGTTAGTGGGCTTCCACGTAGGTAGATCTGCTGTGAAAAAAGACCACAGTCCAGGCACGGGGCTATCTACTGCAAACGGTAATCTCAAGCCGCGACGCAACGATGTCGTTTCTACAAACTGCGTGTCTTAGACGATATGTAATTGATTCTCTATATGAAGTGCTGCCATGATATCCACATTATACAACAAACGAGAATGCACATTGCAGATGCGAGAACTTTACTGACATAATGATCGGAAATCGTAGTGGATTGGTCTCAAACCAACTGACCGAAAATCACTTCTCGTCAGT